AGTTATGAGTTTTTTAATATGAGATTTCAAAGGAAATAACAAGGATAAAAATTGATTTTATATAAAATATAATTTTAATTCTTGGTTTGCAATTTGAGTCTTTTTTGTTCAGCTTAAGTTTTTTTACTGTTCTAGGCTTTAAAAAAAAAATAGAAACAAATTCAGGCTTCCTTCTCACGTTTTTATGATCAAATAGATATTACAAGGTATTTTAAGAAGGGAAACCAGACAACGCCCTCTTTTATTTCGGAGAAATTTGAGAGTGAAATTTTGTTTGTGCCAAAAAAGATCCAGAGATTACAATCAAAGAATTGAATTAGAAAAAAGGTTTAATTAAGAAAAAAAAAGGAAAAAAAGGAGAGGGATTCTAAAAGTATTGTATAAGATCCATATTATATATAAAATATTTCTACATGTGAGATATAGTTTCCTGTCATATATTCCCCCCCAAAAAATTATCTTTATATTCATATTTCATATAAAGCAATATATCAAAGTGATACATGGAAAGATCATAAAACTGAGTCACTTTGTGTGTCCGACATCATAATGGAATTTAAATAGCCATAGTGGTCACACGTCACGACGGTCATCTTAAGTTCTTGTTCGTGCGCGGTTATAGCGTGAAAAAGAAGAGCACGGCATACGTATCGCCCGAACGTGCGGAATTAAAGGGTCGTTTCGCTGCGGCATCGCTGCTTCCGTCGGCGTCGCGTCGGTGCACCGCGTACAGCGAGCTCGGCAAAGCGCTACAAGGCGCGTTACGAACAAACGAATGACCCAACTCTCGAGGAAACAAAGAGTTTGTACGTGCACTAAATACAACGGTGAGTCGCGTCGCCCGCGCCACCCCCGCCGCCACGGTCGTTTTAAAGTGCCTTTCGCTCCTTCTCCTTACAGTCCTTACCTCCAGGACTCGCGCCGCTTGACAATTTTATCTCGCCGAGGGAGTCCCTCACACGAGTCCTTTCCTACGAGTCTCGAGGGCGGAGAAGAGCGACTGCAATGGCTCGTGAAGAAATATTCCCTCGTGCAGCTCCCACCCGGACTCCCTTTCTTAATTAAAACACCGTCAGCCGGTCCAGCGCTCGCGGGCGAAATATGCCTCTAATTCCGATGCGACGTTACAAAGTCGACGGCATATTCCGCCGTCGTGTCGAGTCGAGTCGAGTCGAGTGACGGCAGGCAACGAACGTCGTGCCATTTTCGCGCGATTCCGCAACGACGACGGTCCGGAATTATTCACGTCGAAAGTACAGGGACTTGAAAACCGTAGCGATCTTCTGCGATAAATGTCTCTTCCTTAAATGCCTTGTCTTTTAAATTGTAATTATAACTTTATGAATATTCTTCGATCTGATTTGTTATCTTATTATTTTTTTATTACAACACATGCAAATATACACCGGGAAATTTAATATCTGTACCGATAAACGTGGTTATTGTATTCAAGGACTGCAAAAAAAATATTAATTTTACTTTTTTTCTTGGTACAATTAAAATCAAATAATATTTATTTTTATGAACAGTAGATCATATTTATTATCTGTATCAATTTGCAATATTGTAAATTTAATTTTTAATAGTATATAATTTAATTTTAAAATTGCAACATGACTCCAGATTTTTATATTTTTATATTACTTTTAGTATGTTCGTCTATCTAAACTCCTTTGAAAGGATCAACGTATAAAAATCCATGACAGCTGAGAGATCAAAAGCGCCCGAGTCTCAACGGTTAAGGGCGCTCAAATTTTAGCTGATGAAAAGTTTTTACGAGACATGGGCAGTTGTATGTGGAGCAGAAGAGTGCCTTCGCACACTTGCTACGAATTGCTGGCAATTCGTATCTCGAGCGAGTTATATCTCTCCTTTTTCTCAATATCACCACGAAAGAGGACGTACGCTTTTCCATGGCGAAGTAGTAAAAAAGATGCAACATGAATGACTCGAGCGCGCAATCAAATCTTTTCCTTCGCGCCATGTTCGGAAGTTTATGCTTGCTAAACATTTCACAAAGCAACAAATAATATAGGAGGAACGTATTACTGTGGAAATTTTATGAAACAGAGTTTTATGGAACTATTTCTTACGGAACCAAACATTACGATTTTCTGCAGCTTTTGAAAATAAATAATAACAATGAAAATTACATGATGCTATATTACTGTGCTTTTAATGTTTGAGCTCAAAATACATCATACTGTAAATAAATAACGAGAAATATGCTACAATTGTATAAATTCATATAGACAAAAAAAATATTTTATTTTTTATTGCAGATAAAATAAAGTTTGTAAATTTTTGTTTAATACAATCATATTTATAATTATATAAAATGATGTGAAAAAAAAATATTTTATGTTATTGCACATAAAATAAATCTCATAAAATTTTGTTTAATACAATCGTATCTCTATTGCAGAGCAAATATCCGGAAAACGATTGTCACAGTTACGGGCGGTTATCCCGTAGAATAGAAGATACTCTTATGCCAGGAGGTAAAGCAACTGAAGAGCCATTCTTATAGAAACTGCAGTTTTCCACGAACAAAATAAAATAAAACATAATAGACATCGCACAATCTCATAAATCTCGAGCGCGAGCGATGTACTTCTGTTACTCACAACGATAACTTATTTTGAAAAATGCTTTGAAAACTCGAATCACGTAAAACTCGTCGCGATATACTCACAATAAAACAACAGATATCTCCGTGCGTCGTATTTAGAAGAAAGTGACCGCGTCCTAATCGAGAACACACCTTATTCGTAAAGAATCGTACTTGAAGAACCGGGTCGTTAAAGCATCGTCAGCACGGAAGATGGCTAAAAAGCTTGGGACAAAACGGCATACGTGCATCGCGTTTCACCGACTTCGTTTTCTTGCCAGTAGATCCGGAAAATCGACGTCCTTTCAGCCTCGCGCTTGAAACCGTACCTTCTTCATTGAAGGATGTATACAGGAACACGAGGGAACACGGTGTAAAATAACGATCAATTGTATATACCTGATGTGATCGCAGGTAACGAGGCGTCGCATGGTTACGCCGTCCGTAACGACTCGCGGTTGTTCCTGACGAAAAGATCATTACATGCTGTGTGAAACGAGAAGAGTCTCCGCACAAAATACCAAACCTTTCTCGCACAGTCTCTTCTTTCATCTTCGCTCGGCTCGTCGTTACTTCCTTCGACTGTATTTCGCAAAATCGAAAAAGATTTCGCGCTCACACGCTTTGTGCTCAGTGTCCGTGCGCAAGCTCGTATTTCCGTATCTACGAATAAAAATAATGAAATCAGAACCGAGCGAGTTTCAAAATAGTCGCACATGGTATCATTCATGTTTAAAAAAATACTGTTTTAAAAATATTATCAATTTGAAAACGCTGCGCACGATTTGGAATTGCACTGCTAGATTTATTTCAAGTTAGATTTATCTTTTATCTTAAGGAAACACTCTCTTAAATACTCTGATTGTACAAGAAATATCATAAAAATTATTATTTTTTAACATTCTAATTTATTGTCTTTACTATCATGCGTTTGTAATATTAAATATAAAACAATAAAGTAACATCATATATACATATATACATATATATAAACATAAAAAACTGATATGTACATATATGCACATATAGTACACAAAAATACTTTAAAATATTAGATTTTTATAAAAATTGAATAGGAAAATGATCAAACAACTGGAAAAATAAAAATTAAAAAATTCTTGTCAGTAACGAAGCTCACGTCTCATGTAAAAAAATAGCTTCATCCAATACAAAATGTAACAATGGCACGTTCTCCATAAACAAGCACGCTCCTGAATGCATATGCGTATGCACTCGCTCTAATTATTTGTAGCAGCTACAAAAGACTAGTATTTACACTTTACATTTAACATAAACTGATCAATTTTAGATTTTATTTGTACTGCATGTAATATTATCGCTTAAGTCATTAATTTTTTCCTTTCCTAATAAGAAAGTGAAGTATTTAGTCATTAATTCGTTATCTCATTAATTTAATACTTATTAATTTATTAATACCTCTTAATATATTTAGTAAGTAGTAAGTAGAATTATCTATAAAAATCAAATGAACATTGATACAGTCGAGGTTAATCGTGCGGTGCTTTAACGAATACTCTTTTTGCAAGAGCGCAAAACAGCAAGCAAACTGCAATCCTTCCATCGAGAGCTTCTGCTCGCTCAATTAATCGCACTTTTCTCCGAGTAATCGCGTCTCTTTCCAAGATCGCGCTCGCGACTCGTACGGAAAAACTTTGCGTCCCGGAAATTACGCGGCAAGGCCAAGTTTTCAGGTCAAGCGTAGCTGTATTTTTTGCCCGTTTTAATCTGAACTTTACGATAAGGAGATTGCATTGAACGACCCGTTACCGCTAAGGCCGAGAGTGGCCCTTACTCTACAAGACGATTAAGGAGACTTCTTTACTCATCCTTTTTACGAATGCACATGTGCACACGAAATTAAATTAAATGTCGATAGAAAGCTATTCCTACATCATTCTGATTAACGATACGAGAATTTTATCGATGACATACAATTAACATCTTTATACCTAAATATTTCGTTGAACAATTTATTGTCAAATTCATATTTTAATTCTAATAATAAAATAATATAATTATCTAACTAATATAAAATAATTATACCGCTTTTGTAAACATATAGTCTTAAATAATTTACGTAAAAAATAAGAAAATATATAGAGGTTGATTTATAAATAAATAGGAACATATCCTATTTCAAAGTGAGACTAAAACTAGAATTCCAAACGGCAATATTGACGTCATAACCCGTTGAGATATCCTGGAGTTTTACAGAAAGTGTAAATACGACAACATTCAGACTGCATAGAAAAATACACGAGAAAATAGATTGGTTTGACAGGCAATATGTGGTCGTCGACCCTTTTGTTTTGAGATCGATATGTCGCTTCACAGCGTGTATGTATAACACACCCTACGTCAAACAAGTTAGTTCCCTTAATTTTATCAACTGAATTGACATTCCTGGACCAATGTTTGCTGGAGACGGATGCACGTTACAATAAAATCAGACGACACTACGATGAAACGTTTGTCATCTAATCCATTCATTTGCTTGTTCGTACTTATAACGTTTCATAGCCAACAAGTTCATACCGGCTACCAAGGTATATATATTCTCTATATAATTTCAATTTTTTCTACACTTTTCTCTCTAATTAATATTATTTTTAATTTACAAAAATCTTAATTGAATCCTTCAGCTTTGATAAAATTAAAATTTAAGTGTCCAGCTTAAAAAAATATTGGAATTTGATCAATCGCTTCATTTGATTAAAATTTTAATCCCTTTTTTCATTTTTAAAACAGCAATATTTATTATACGAGAAATATTTATTTTTCTTCGATAGCAAGAAATGTAAAAATAAATTACAGAGAAAAATATATACATGTATCGGTTGGATATAAAAAATGTGTAAATGCGCGTAAATGGATAAAACATAAAATATATAACACACGCGGATACAATATAAACTATGAGGGACTTGTTTGTATAATGTTATATAAAGAGAGATATATAGTGGCCTTTTTCCATAATTTTCTACAGAAAAAAATTTTCCACGTCGATCCTTTTCAGAGCTTTTCCACACCCTATCAGCCTGTCCTATTTCGAGAAAGTCATTGCCATCTATCAGAGCAGAGCTTTCCTCTTGTCGAGCACAACGCGCACGCGAGAGCTATTTTTCGCGGTTTCGCGAGCAGCAGAGAGAAGAGTAGTAGGAGTAGGTCGTGCGGTACGAGAAGATGACCCATTGTATCTCACATCTCTATGCCAACCCTCCTTGTCTGCATTGCAGTCGTAGCCGCGGATACCGAAAACAAAAATATGTTTTCTTTTCATTATGAGCTTGATTTAAGAGAATTCTTCCAATTTCTCATGATGACATCTTTTAACTTATTTTACTTGTGAAATAATAACTCTTCTGTCGCAAAATCTTCAAATCAGAGAAAAGAGAGAGAACATTTTTTTTTAATTTAATTTTTTATCGTAAATTTATTATATTAAATATTCTGATAACTCGATTTTAAAATAATTTAAAATTGCTTTCGAACACATTTCATCACAAATTAATTGAGCGGTTATTAATTAAATGTTCAATAGCCTGAAATGGGGCAATTTTTTTTTAAGAGGAAATGCTGTGTGTGCGAGTGACATTTTTCTATGATATAGCACTGCCAAGCGGGAAAACTGCTGCGCTTATACCACGAAATGATGATCCATTGTACGTGCTTACCGTGGCTTCATTCCTTTCTTTCCTCCCTCTGCTCTACCTCTCTCTTTATCTTTCTCTCTCTTCCTATGTCTTTTCCGTCTTATCATGTTCTCTCGATGACGTATACTACGAAATTGATACCTGATATCGAAAGGTTCTGCCTTCTGTAACATTTTCACCTACACGAGAAAGCTCTTCCTTGTATTTTCGCAACAAAACGATGATGATGGAAAGACGGAAACGGAAATATTCTCGTTGGTGAAAATATTCGCATCTCTCAATAATATCGGAGTCCATCCGTTCCATTCGGTTTCTCTTGTCGGCTTCGACTATGTAGCTTCATAGATAGATCGACCTTCTTTGTAAAATGTTTTTGAACTTGAAAAATAAAATCAACTCTTTGTGCTTTTGTCGCAATTTGTGGCATTTGATTTACAGATCTATTATGTAGGCATTGTACAACTATCAATCGTTACTCACGATTAGTGTTGATGTATTAATCGAAGCACGTATAGAAAGTTAAAATTTGAATAGATGATTTCATGATGCAACGGCATTAATGCCATTATACACGTTGAAGGTTAAATAATAGAGAATGTGGTCAATGACGAAATATTATCGGTAATATATATTCGAACATATATAATTATTATTTAGAAATGTTTCTCTGGTTTATTAAATTTCCACGCCTCGTGGAAATGGAAATGCGTGTAACATCATAATAAAGTAAAACGCATATAATGCATTGATGAGTGAAACATACACTCTGAATTTCGAGCATAATGTTCAAATAACGTATTGTTGCGATAAATTTACTAATAATAGAGAGAAATATATATGTATACAAAACGCAATAAAATTATATTAAAAGCAAATATTAAATATTATGGCAGTGGCAATACGAACGTTAAGTTTACTTTTCATTAGTTTAATGATACCTATACAACAGTAATTATATAATTACTATTGCATGTCAATTTTCAGAATTGGTTTGCTACAAACAAAAATTTTAATTATTAATTATTATATCGTTAAAAATAATTGAAAATAATGTATTAAGTAAATTATATATTAAGTATAAAATTACGTAATTACTGTATATATTTAAAAAAATATCGTCTACAATTTACAACAATTACACTTAGCATCGCTTTTTTCTTAAGGACGTTATACACGCGCTGTTGATTTACCGAACGAACATGAAATAGTAATACCACGAAAGGTTAGATCGGATGGAAGTTTTATATCTCATCAAATACCCCATCACTTCGAGCACTTCTTCTATCGAAATCGAACGACAGGCGACGATGTCGTTCACTATCGCCTGCGTATTGATCACGAAGAACATCACATCGAGCTCTATCCAAATCATCGACTCCTTGGACCAGGTGCAGTAATTGAAAAACGTCGCGGATCGCAAGATTTTTTAAACAATATGCAACTGAAGCGATTGGGAGACATGCAATGCCATTATCGGGCCCGTGTGCGAAATCAATCGGATGACAGTGCGCTATCCACTTGTTACGGACTTGTTAGTATCAAATGATCCTTCACTCGATTGATTGTATATAAGTATACTGCTATATAGTATTATGCATAACGCTGCATAACATTTTAATCGGCCATTTATTCCAGGATCTTTAGCATTGCATTAAATTGTTTAAATACAATAAGCAATTTATTAAGTCCGTATATGTGAATACACAACAAGTCAAAGTTGAATGCCTATTACGGTCGAAACTACATATTTGATGCTTTTTAAATTTCTATGTAAATTTGTATATTAAATATATAGTTATTTGAATCGCGCGCCAAAATGATTTTTCGAACTTATAAACGCAATTAAACTACTATAGTAATATATCACAAATTAAATTGATAAGCAATTTAATAATTTGATGCTCAATCTGGCATCCTATTAGAAAGATGTTAATGTACTGAAATTATTTAAATATAGTTAACTGCAGAATGAAAGTGATTAAAGTTAAACACAGAACTTTGTAAGATTCATTAATTTCTTCTCCAACCAAAATATATCAACTACAAATTTTAAGAACATTATCAGGTTTTATTATTTTAATTTTCAGGTTGGCTACATTAAAATGAAGCACGCGTGGTACATGATCGAACCACTGGCTGGACCAGTTACCAAAGAAATGGGGCACCCACATATCGTGTATAAAAGGAGCCCAAATGAGTATGAAGACGATGCCATGCAGAATCTTTGCAGCGTCATTGGAAAAACATCTAAAACCATTGCCAAGCGTGCTTTAAACCCGCAGAAAAGAATGCCTGCAAGATCAATCGACAATAAGTCGTACACGCTAGAATTGCTGGTGGTGTTGGACAAATCTTTGTTGGATTATCATAAAGAGAGAGAGTTCGATATTGAAAATTACATACTAACGCTCTTCAATATAGCAAGTTGAAAATCTTCCAAAAAAAAAAATTTTACGAATCTGCTTCTAGAAATTTTACGAAATTTTAGTGTCAGAAATTTTACAAAATCTTAATGCCACTAATATAGATTAACTTTAATTCTAGTTCGCAACTTACTCTCCATTTTTCTTAATTCTTAAAAACTTCTTAGAAAAAAATGAAAAGTAAGTTAAACCAAGATTAAAGTTAATCTACATCGATAGAAACGTAAGAGTTCTTTTCTCAGGCTGCAGGGTTGTTTCACGACGTCAGTCTAGGCGTACACATGCAGTTGACCATAGTAAGAATTATAAGATTGGAAGTGAAGGAAAATGAGGTAAAGAGTACGGGATAAAAATATCTCCTAAAGTATAAATAAAGAACTTTATTATTTTATCGAAGCGATGAATCTCTTCTACTTTCAACGCGTTCAATAATAAACATATATCTTTTTTTGCGAATATCGAGAATATCGAGATAAAGAAAATATTCGAATTACAATTTATAATGTATCGTTTTTCATGCCGTTTGAATTTGTGCCAATCTAATATTGTATTGAATACAATGCAGATGAATTTGTCAATAAATCGAGACGCGGATGCAACGTTGAAGCATTTCCAAGAATGGCAGTACACCATGAATCCCGGCGACGATTCCCACCCAAATCATCACGATTGTGCGGTTCTCATTAGCAAGTACGCGGCGCAAGCAATTCTGTTGGAAATTCAATTTAATCCCGAGATTACGGGCACTCGCCCTTTTGACGATAACTTATCAGATTAGATATCTGTGTCTCGAGAAAGCTCTGTGGCTTTACTGGTACATCCACGATCGCTGGTACGTGCGATCCTTTGAGAGGTGCAGCCATTGTGAGAGACGCTGGTCTACCAACCGGTTATCATATAGCTCATCAGATAGGCCACACGTAAGCCCGTAATTAATTTTATCCGTTCCGACATAATTAGATATAGAAAAAATTTCAAATAATTACACTACGCCGCAAAAACGGAATAAAATCGAGTAATTCTAGGGCATGTAAATAATACATTAATTTCGTACAAACTGATCATATTAAACAACGAAATTAATATTAATATAATATTTACTGCAATATTTCATATACCATTATTTGAACTAGGGAAACATTTTACAACGGATATTTCTCTCGTTTCAATATTCTCCCGTTTCCCCATGGTTGCTTACGCTATCGACTGATTCCTTCATGCTTCGCCAGCGAGGAAAAAATGCGAAATAAATTTCTAAAGACCATTTCTTTGCCCAAGAGTGGAAATAATAGTATGCCGCGGCGCCGTCGTAAATAAGTCACGGTCGAGAGCGTTGTTTAATGTATGAAGCGACTTCTCGTCGTCGTGTACCTCGAGATACCTTTTAAGAGCAAGTCCGGGCAACGCGACGTGCGCGTGCCCCAATAAATATTCCGCTCCGAAAGCCGATTTTCTTTTTCTCATTACCAGCCTGGGTATGTCCCACGACGTGCAGCGGGAGAACGGCTGTCCTGGTATAGTTTATCACGGAAACGGATACGCGGAGACCACCGTTATGCACCCCGGCGACATGTACATCACGAAAAAATGGTCCGAATGTTCCCGACGCTACCTGCGCTCGTACATCGAGTGAGCTTAATGCTTGTTGCTTTTTCGCCGGTGGCTTTATTAAAGTCCGCCAGTAACAAAACTGCTTTCCTCATCTACTCCGTGCGTTCTCTAGAAGCGGAGTAGGTACAAAGAGCCTGATCTACGGCCGTAAATTTTAAATTAAATTAAGAACCATGCCGTTGGTTGTCTCGCGGAACTCAACGGTGATCCGCGATATGAAACGCGGCGGTGAACGGTCGCCATAAGTTACTATAAATATTCATGTAACAAATATGAAGTTCCAACGATATTCTGCTTTTTTTCACATTTTATCGCCAAAATTCTGTTTAGGACTCTGTCAAAAACTCTGAATAATCAAGACTATTATAAAAAATATGATATAAAACTCATAAAATTGTATCGAATTAAATTATATTCAAATTCCAAACCAAGGATGAAGAAAATGACATAGAAAATTTCATAAAAGTACAATTGTTTAAAAATACTCTTCATCAAAATTGAAGTCGTACAGTAAAGAAGGCCCTTGTATATCTCTTGTATCACGTAAATAGATGATTGATAGTATGCTTTACACATTGCGACATTTAATTTGTGATATCCATTCAAAATTTCAGAAATGTGAAATATATAGTGATTGATTTCAGGCAGGGTCTTGCGTTCTGCTTAGAGGACGAGCCGCAGGATCATCACTTTCCAGCAGCGGAAATGTTGCCAGGCGTGATATATAACGGTGACGATCAATGCCGTTTACGATATCGACCAGACGCTCGGCAATGTGACATGGGAGTCGTAAGTTTATACGCATAGATTATTGATGCAACGTTGCGAAAAAGTAACGTCGCATACACTGAAAAAAAATCTTAATTTCAAAGAAATATCTCTTTGCTCGTATTTAAAAAAATTATTTCTTTGGATCAATGAAAATTTTTTTGAAAATAAGATATTGTACTTTCAAAGAAATAAGATATTGTATTTTCGAAAAAATTTTCGTTGATCCAAAGAAATAATCTTTTTTTAACACGAGCAAAGAGATATTTCTTTGAAATTAAGATTTTGTTTTTTCAGTATAGCAAGCTTTATTAAGTTAACACAGCCACTGCACAATTGAATAAAACATACACATTTTAGTTTTTTTGCTGCCTTACACTGAAAAACTCATTTAGTTGAATCAATTAATTTTTTGTTTGAATATGGGCAAACAAATCATTAATTGATGCAATAAAATAATTTAGTTGAAGCAAAACATTTGGTTATTGTAAATAACTTTATCAGATGTCAATGTTTGTCAGAAACAAGTACATATAATAAAATGTTACAATAAGCAAATGCTTTGCTTTAACTAAATTATTTTATTGCATCAACCAAGGATTTGTTTGTCCATATCCAACCAAGAAATTAATTGATTCAACTAAATGGATTTCTCAGTGTATTCACGATTTTATGGCGAATTAATAGACATCGTGACTGTTCTAATTTAACCCTGGGCAACGTATCATGGAATTATCGAAATAGATTCCAATCGGGATTTTCCCTAGAAAACATAATAGAATCTAAATCTAGAGGATAATTACACAATTCCAATCGGAATCTATTCCGAATAATTGCATAATACGTGAAACGCTACTCATATTTTTCTTCTATTTTAACACTTTTCTGGATACCTATCATGAAATATGTCGGAATGGATTCCGATCGGAATTATTCCGTTTTCCCTAGAAAACACAATAGAAATCTAGGGAATAATTGGATAATTCCGATCGGAATCGATTCCGACTTGTTCTATGATAGGTACCCTGGGGTTAGGGAATAATTGAATAATTCCGATCGGAATCGATTCCGACTTGTTCTATGATAGGTACCCTGGGTGAAAATATCCACATAATTAAGAAATTTTTTACACTTTCTTATGTCTACCTTATAAGTGTAAAGTGTTAGAATAGCTAAACTAACACTATTCTAATGCAAAAAATGAACTTTAATTTTAAACGATCTTAATGTTATTTCAAGCGATCAAAATTTTAATAACAAAAACTATATTACAGTTAAAAACTGTATGAGTAAAAATTCATCAACAGTAATATTTTAAAGTTAAGTTACAATTAATAATCACTATTTCTATCAAACTGAAGCAATAAAATTGCAAATAAAGCAACAAATTAGCAACAAAAAGCATTAAATTTACGCGCATATTTTATAATTTCTTTTATTCGATCGTGCTGCAGAGACTGTGCCAGCTTAATACACATTCGGTTAACATGTATAATATCACTCTTCCTTTGCACATCAATTTTTAATTTAAGCTTCAAAAATAATAGCGTAATTTCTTCCTTGAGGAAACAATCATTTCTTCATACAAAGCAATAATAGAATATAGAACGTCGAAAAAACGATGAAAAATCAAACGCAATATATTTCAAGGGATAGAGTAGAAAAAAACGCAGGATCGCGGATCGTAAATTCATCACTGTCTTCGCGATAAGAGAACCGAAAATTTGGAATAGAAAAAGGACTCATGGTTGACCCGAGAGCATGATTTTGGAGAAAAGCAAGAAGTTCAAACATTATTTCTAAAATCTTAATCAATCTTTATTATAATGAAACGAAATATATAAGTTTCCACCAAATGATGTTACAAATTAAAACGTAATATACACGAAACGCTATGTAATCTATCGAGATTTTTGTTTAGTTTGCAAATCTAAAGAGTTGTGTGGAATAGCTATTATTGTTTTTTTGGAAATTGAAACTGGAGAGACAAAATTAGATTACTTAATCAATATATCATAACAAATTAAAAAAATAGAATTCTCAAGATATTTAATAAAATTAATACTTCAGAATGTTATACTAGTATAGAGTATTTTGGAAATGATTTTTTTTATATAAAAAGAAATAAAAACAAAACGCTACAAAAGAAATATGTTTTGCTTTTCATGTTTTTTATTTATTTGTTTGTTCAGACAATGCTAAACTTAAGTTAGCACAGCCACTATTTATATCAAATCGGTTAATCCGAAAATAGTAGCCTGGAGTATTTATATATAGATAGATGTTTTTATAACAGCGAAAAAAGTGAATTGTTAGAAAATATTGTTTTGTATGGGATACTATTTAATATATATTTTTTTCTTTTTTATTAACTATTCTTTACAAACCTTTAAATATGCAATTCCATCGAAAACTCCCAATAAAAAAACATTATATTAATTAAAATTTTTGTGTTTTAGAAATATTGTCATAATAAGCAATATTTATACAATATTTGGATCCCTTTAATATTTAGATTATTTTTTCAGAAAAATATGATGACTACTCTCGAGTTAAAACAATAGATTCGCAAATAAGGCAACAAATTAACAAGAAAAAAAAGCATTAAATTTATGTGTATGTTTTATTCGATTGTGCTGCAGCGACTATGTCAACTTAGCATGCGCAGTAGTCATTTTTTTACGGTGAAAATATTAAGCGACAACCAGACAATTTATTAAAGCGATTCCGATAATACACGCGTTAACGTATCGGCTTGCGGATCCACATCGCCCGTAAACGGGCACCATCTGCCGTTCACATCTACAAACCGATGCCTTTGCGGCCTACCTTATCCGTTTAGGAAAATACGTTCTCCAACTGTGCATGGCGTCAGATAAGAGACCGGAGAACTCGCGATATCTATCACGCACGATATCGCGATCGACACGCGATGTAACTAAAATGAAACTCTCGCAGAGATGAACTGATTCTCATAGTCATTTTGACTTAGCAAACTCGAGCTCAATGTACAGTAGACACTCACATATATTTACATACATACATACAATTTTTATGAGCTATTTGAGAAAAAAAATGAAAAAATTTGAGAAAGTAACATGTAATATTATTTAAAGATAATAAGAAAAATAAAAATAAGAACAGACCTATATATACGTTTAATATAAATAAAATAGAATAGTATAAACTAAAACTCATTTATTATTATTTATGTCTTTACTAAAAAATTACTAAACTGAGACGATCTCACCCCCATTTTCAGACTTGTGAAACCCTTAGGTGCGCCATCCCCGGAAGAGGTTGCGTGACTGGCAGGAAACCACTCGCCGAGGGCACCCCATGTGGCGAAAAGAGAGTAAATACCTATTTATGAATAAAGAGCGTAAAATAAGGCACGAAAGATGATCTAAGATCTGCAGATTGCAAGAACTGTAAAGAACAATTTATAAAAGTAGGTAACTATTCTTTGATTCCGTGGCTATATTATTTACGATAAAAATTATTTTGAAAAATTTTTAAACTTATTATTTCTTAAGTAATTTAATTGAACTGTTCGTTAATTTAGTTCTCTACACTGAAAAAAAGGATTGGCTGTTGCAGCAAATTAGATGGTAAAATATGGCATAGCATTTTTAATTGATTGCAGCAGCCAATTTTTGGCTGTGTTAATCTATCGAAATCCTATACTGACATTGCGGATAGGCTAACGCAACCAAAAATTGGCTGTTGCAACCAAAAATTTGCTGCTACAGCCAGTTAAAAATGCTATGCCATATTTTACCATCTAATTTGCTGCAGCAACCAATCCTATTTTTCAGTGTACAGTTTATAATTTATTTTTTTATTTTAATAGTTTTTTCAAGTCTTGACAATTTCATTTTAGAAAAACATACTCGTCGACTTTTTCAATGTTTCCTTTGTTCCAAATATTAATATGTTATATTGATTCACACATTAAGGATTTATAATAATTAATTATGCAGGTCTTAATTGTGTATCTTCACTTTAACTTATTCAATACATTATTCACCAAGATATTTCGTGAGTATAACTGATGAATAAGTATTCGTCTTCGAGAGCCTTAAAAGCGTATATCAAAGTACAGATTTGAAGAAAAATTACATATTAATCAATTAATCAAGGTTCTCGAGGACCTTTCACCGAGAGGCTATTATGTCGGAACAGTTTAAGTATCTCATGAAGAAGATACGACGAAAGTATATAGTAGAAAACTAAAAAAGCTATCTCAATCTGCCATTAACCGTAAGTCACGCGCCCTTTCAGAATTAAAACCAATTTCAGGCTTCAGTTAAATTTCATTGACCCTTAAGGTAGCAATTAAAGCGCGACAATGTTAAAGATTGCAAGCGGGTATTCACAGATGCATTCTCACAAAGTACGTCAAGCTAACATTATACTGTAAATTCTTTCATAATAATACGTTTGTGAGTTTATAAAAAATTGCAACTTTTATATAGAGCCGTTTTTTGCTTCCCTTTGGTTTAATAAGCACAGCTTCTTATAGAAGTCTAATACACTTCAAAAGTTAAAAGATTATTTATCTCAAACTTAATAATAAGTTAGAAAACTTACAAAGTAGTGTATGTGGAAATTTGTTACGGGACTAAAAGGATTTACTTGAATGTATTTAAGAAACTCATAGTTAAAGAAAACGTAAAGGTCGGATGTCAATTACGAAGCAGTGCAAGGCTACTTAATATAAAATTTATTTTGATAATAAAAGAATTTATTTGAATTTATCCAAGGAGCGCTCGTAATTCTCAAAAATGTAAAAATTGTCTTTAAATTTGACAAATGAATTCGATATATACAATAAAAAAGGAACTGCATACAAATAATCGAGCACGCATATATTCTGCATAAAAATTCGTATCTTGCCAAATAAAACTTGTTTTAAGTCGAGTCACGGATATTTCGGAAATCGAAACAAGGCAAGTTGGTTGAAATGTTTTTTGCGGTTGGTCAAGCATGCGCGACTACGTGATGTTGCAAAAGGGATTCGGCAAAACGTGATAGAATGTAGGTGCGCGTAAGATCCATAAGCCGGGAGACAAGCGGTGTCCAAATATCACACATCAGCGAAATATCAGATTTGGGTGATAATGTTAATAAGCGAGCGTGCTGAAGCGTCGAAGCGCGTAGACGAGAGTCATTAGCGCCGACCGGTTGACCGACTACCGTGTCGGACACTACCGTGCTCGAAGCTCGTGAATCTGGTCGGCGAATAATCTCTAATTACTCGAGGGAGCTCCGCACGAAGTCAGATCGTCAATATCCGTGCACGATAAATCAGACCAGCATCAAAAACGTATGGCTTTTATTTTCGCAGATCTTGCGAATATGTGAATATCAACGAAGATGTACAATGTTTTAATTACAAACATTTTATTAGATATAAAAAGTTCAGTTATAAGTAATAAAACATTTTCAAGAGGATATGTGAATAAAACCATCCAAGACATAGATATGTATCTTTTTAAAGCATGCGTACGATCTGTTCGAATATTGATAAAAAAAAACGAGCAGAATGGTTGATATTTCGTTTAAATAACTCGATGTAAAAAGAAAAACAAATTTCCTACCGATGAAATTTAGTGAGTAAAATTGGACGATGTAGAGAGAATTGCGAAGTTTAAAAAATTGAAATCGGAACGATAACATCGACTGCGAAAATAGATTGATCTACCTACGTGCGTAAAAATTCAGTTTGTTTGTCATGCCACTTCACAACAACCGATGCAATCATCGGTAGAATGAAATAGACAAATAGATGCGCAATTGCAGTTTGTAAAACGAAGAGCAATTATCTCATCACCAGCTGAGGGCAGGTTTGATGCGTTTGCGTGTTATCGCGGAGTCGCGAGCTCGCGTATACTTTAATGCGGATGTTTTAAATGGAAAAGCGAGATAGCTAATATTCGAGTAACCGTTCCTCCCTCCAACGAAATGACGAGATATTTCCGAGAATTTTTATAAAATAATGAGCTGCGAAATTGAAGATACAAAGTGCATGAATTTCCGTATATTTACTTGAATATATGCATATTAAACGTGTGATACATCCATGGATTAATATTATTTTTGTAACTGCGCGCAGAGTAGCACGCATCATTACAAATAATTAATATTCGCACAGCGAGTAACTTTAAATAAAGAGCAATGCATGCATTACATTAAATAAAAGGTAAATATACGTTATATTTTATAACTATTTTTGAAGGGCAAAATGATTACGTTGCAACGAAACGACAGGAGGGAATATTATTCCATCTGGCAGACATTTAAGCAGCTTTAAGTACATTTAAAATTGCAGAAATCGTAAAGGGACTCGATAATTATTCGCGTTGGGGAATAGCGTTAGTGATTCTAATGGAACAAGACGAAGATCTCTCGAAGCGCAAGAATATCTTCCTGCAGGTCATAATAAATTTCCACGTCGCGCTTCTAAAGGACGTAGTGCATCATTTAGTTTCGTTCATAATGTACCTCCCCGGGACCGTCCTTCGTGCCTTCTCATTTTCCGTGACATAAGTCAGTCCAGGTACCGCGATGTCGAGGTTAACGAATGTTACAGTGGTGTTACCAAATGAAGTGCCTAATGGTAGGAGAACGACCCGGAATCACAGACGGTGGTTGGGGTGCCTGGTCGTCCTGGAGCAGGTGTTCGCGGACATGCGGCTCCGGCGTGGCATACGCTGTGAGAAAATGTAACCAGCCATCTCCATCTAAAGGCGGCTCTTATTGCATCGGTGACAGGAAGCGCCATAAAATCTGCGCCACGGATGTTAGTTTCAAGAGTGCTGGTAAACGATTTCCAGTAAGCGCAGCGCGAACTTACACGGTCTTGAGTGAACGTTCGATTTATGCAACGATTGCATCTTCCACGAGATTGTTACAGAAATTGTTGGAGAAACGCTTTCTCGGTATAAAGAATTTTACGCGACGTACGAAAAATGTAATAATCGTTAAATTATGGAGAAAAAAATTCCACGAGGGTTAAGCTAACAACAATTATTGAAATTCAGGCAGGCAAAATGAAAAGTCGTTACCTTACTTCAAAAGTAACACAATTCACAAAATATGATTTTCAAGTTATTACCATTAATGGAGTTAGATAAAGATTATAAAGATTATTCTATCAATCATCAAACGTAAACTAACTTAATTTCACGGTCCATCCATCAAAGCACTGAGCACTTGTGTCTCTTTCGTAAAGTTTTCAAAGGGATTATAATATCTTTCAAAGTGATTATATCTTCTACAAGAGTGACACATTTTGAGTTGCATCGTTTTTGTAAATAAAAAGAATTTTCTACAGAAAAAATTTAGAATTGAGGCAATTTTAACAAAGTTTGAAAAAGAAATTATTTTATTTTGAATTTAATCATTTTAGCTGATCAAAGTAAATATGAAGTATTCTGATATATCGAGTTATATCTTTTGATGATTTATTCTGAATTTGTTATAATTTTATAGAATATTCAAATCGTCACAACTCAAGGAAGGTGATCTTTTTAAGGATTGTAAAACGGAAATTACAAAAATGACATTTGATCATTTTTCTAAGAGTTTTTTTTACCAATATTATTTAATTAGTCAATAATTTTCTGTTAAGTTGAAAAATAGTTTTTCCCCTTTCCTATAAAACTCAATTTTACGAGTTGTGTTATTTTTAAATTAAGGATGTGTTACTTTTAAAATAAGGAAACAAAATGTTAAACGCGCTGCGTTGATATAAAGCTGCTGGAGGCGGAAAATTATCATACGCGAAATTAACATTGAGTTTCTTTACAGCCCTGTGAAATCGGCGCACCCTCGTTTCGCGACGTGCAGTGCGCCGAATTCAACGATTGGATATTTCCGGAAGACGGAAAGGTTCATCGTTGGATGGCGTATAATCTTCCTGAAGGTAATAAGAGCGATAAGTGATCTTCAGCCTTCCGTCGACTTTGTGACTTATCTTTCCCAGATTTGAAGGCATCCGAAAACCCTTGCGCGCTTTACTGCATAAGTGAAACTAATCTGGTGGCATCGCTGAGACCGAAAGTGGTGGATGGTACCACTTGCTATAGAGGCATTCGGGACATTTGCGTCGGGGGTGTATGTAGGGAAATACCTTGTGACCTAGATATGGAATCCACCGCCGTCGAAGACGTTTGTGGTGTCTGTCGAGGCGATAGTACCTCATGCATCTTGAAGCAAGGAACAGTGTCCTTTACAGCCCAACCTCGTAAGAAAAGAAAAAATACTTAGTTACAAATTCAAATATACAAAAATACGAATGCAGATACAAAGATTTCATTTTGTCTAGTGTTTTGAATAATAATACCATTTTACTTTTGCGAAGTAAAAACCTTTACCAAATATTGAAGTGGACTTCTGCATTATTAAAAATATTCTTACAATATTTCAAAGATGATAGTTGAATTTTGTATCAACGCCTTCAACAAAAATTCAGTTTCTTTTTCTGTCGATCTTTCTTTTGAATTCCTCATAATAATTTTCTTGGCGTTCTCGCTTACTATTCCACGTCGAGCGAATTTCGCAACTTGACAAAAATGCCGATGAACTTCACAGTGTCGTCGACGGCACGGTGAATAGGAAGTACGCGAACGAGAACTTCTGTGAATTAAAATTCCGCCAGAGCAGAAGTATAAGGCGCGCGTTCAGTCTTGCTCTCCAAGAGGAATCTTGAGCAGTGCATTGAGAATATGTATATGTATATATGTGTGTGAGAGAGAGAGAGAGAGAGAGAGAGAGAGAGAGAGAGCACGTTTCGCGACAGCCCAATAATTCCTTTCGCATTGCGCAACAACGCGATGTTGCGCCAAAATTGGAATCTCGACGAATAATATCACGCGTAGTAGTTTCGTGCAATAATCTTCCGAACGAATTTTCGCGTTAAGGACTCAAGAAAATAACAGACGTGCCGGCCGGTGCCAGAAATATTCGCGTCGAGGAGGCAGAACCAACTAAATCCAGAATCGTAGTGCGCACAAGAAATACGAAAACTGTGTTGATCGATGGGTAAATGAAATTCTTCATCTTTCTAACACATAAGTTGTAACACATTTATGTTATAATCTCGAGAAAACCATCACCGGTTGTATTTACTGTCTGATCAAACATCGCAAATAATATCTTTAATTCGAGGCCTTTCTTTAACCTCATTAATCTTTTCACATATCAGGCAATAAAGATGATAGTTTTACTCCATAATTAACAACGCGGTGTGATTATTTCAGCAACCGTCTAGGAATGTTCAATGTGCCGGCTTCCAAGGCGTGGCTGGGAATGATAAGACCGAGGCAGGAAGCTTTGAATATACCGGGACCCGTCACTGAGGACTTGACTATATTGGTAAACATAATGAGCGCACTCCGCTAATTAGTCGCTATTCTTGGCAAATCGATAACGTATCTCAAACAAGGTGTTCAAACTTGGATATGTATTATCGGCAGAAATGCACAAAAAGAAATACTCTCTTAAAAACACTTTATATTCATTTAAAATCGCCGTACTGCTATAATAATCAACTGCTATAATTATCTTTAAAGGAAATGAGTTTTAAAAACCGAGTTCTTTATTTCAAATATAATTTGCCGACGCGACGCGAATAAAGTTTGCAACATTTTACAAAACGGCTAAAACTTAATTTTTTATTTTTGAAAATGTAACATGTAGTGTAGTCTATTTTCTCACCTTTATACTGAAGTAACTGCCAAGTTATTTTAAAAAGTACGCTGAGAGAAAAATGTTTAGTATATGTAATTATAATTACATGATAAAATACTATGACGAGAAGCTCTATTTTTATAATAGTTTTGCTATAATATCAGTTATTTTAAAAGTGATTTTTTATTGCAATAATGATATTGCTTTGCTTAAAATGAGAGTCTACACAATATAAATTAAGTAATCTTCATATTTAAAAAAATATTTTTTACTTCGCACTAGCTTCACTCGCTTTTTTATTTATTTCTAAATTTTTTCGCTTCTTTTGAGAAGGTAAAAAGAAAACATTATTTTTCACACGGCACACTTGGAAACTCTTTGCGGTACATCAGTGTAGCGCGACACATTGATTGAAAAACCTTACTAAAAAGAATATATTTATAGTTATTCCTGAAAACGAATATAAAATTATACGAGTATAAAATCCTCATTTTGAGGGACAACAATATACTCTTTTTAGTAAAAAATTATAAATATATAATTACATGTATATGTGTATTATTACTAAAACTATAACATTAATTGGTAATTATAAAATTAAGATCCTAGTCATAATTATATTATCAGGTAATTAAAGTCATAAATACCAAAAACTGTCCTCTCAGTGAACATTAAAGATAAATTTAATTTTATCCTTTTGCAGATTTTCTCTGACAGCTAATAGTTTGATAGGTTTTAGCAAAGGAGAACGTTACGTTGAAATACTCGTTAGGATTGAAGCAACGAACTTCCCGCAAACACGAGTTCACATGGGACTACATCGATTGGGAGAAATGCTCTGCAGGTTGCGGCCCGGGAGAACAGATATCGAAACCTCGTTGCATCGAGAAAATCGGCGGACTAGTGGACGATAAATTTTGCAGAAACATCACTAAACCAGACGCAAAAGTCAGACCATGCAATCAAGCTCCCTGTATACCGCGGTAAGTTTATATTTTTACAATTTTTTGCATTTAAAATATTCATGAACTTATTAAATCTCATATAAGAAAAACTGAATAACTGTCTATAATTGTTAACGAAACTCGATATATAGTAGCGTTAAAATCGATTTGCATGTCAAAGAACTTGCATCACATATTCATTTATTTTACAGACAATACACTGAAAAAAATTTCTGGTTGAAAATGAACAAATTAGAATTTTCTGATTAAATTTATTAGAATTCTAGTTGAGATAACCGGAATTCTGATTGATACAATATTTCTTGTAAAATTTACTGAAATTCTTATTTTTACCAAAATATTTACCATATATCAAACAGAATTATAATTATTTCAACTAGAATTCTAATAGATTTAACCAGAAAATTTTGATTCGTCCATTTTTTACCAGAATTACTTTTTAATCTACTATTTAATCCAAGCAGACAATTTTTTTCGATGTAGTATAATAATAATTCTATACATCATTTTTATATCTTCACTTCATATAAATCATATCATGTTCGCGGGTCGAACAGACTTGTCATTGTTATCTTGAGGAACTAACGAAGGGATATGATACTATACGCGATAATCACCGTCGCCCCGCTGTCGCCAGCTAATTAAAAGCCTCGCTCTTATCGTCGGACGCGATTTCAGGTGGATCATTGGTGAGTGGCAAGGCTGTACACCGTGTACGCCAGGCTGCAAGAGAAGGCGCGCTGTCAAATGTGTACGACCCGTTGGCCGTGGCGAGCAGGATCTCGACGTGATCGAGGACAGCTACTGCCAAGGACCGAAGCCAAGGGAGTCAGCGTCTTGCGAAGCCAGCCGACGAAGACGAGAAGACAGAGGTGCCGCCGACAGCAAACGTGGCCTCTTCTCCGCTCGGTCGAGCACGCCAACACGACAAAACGACTTGATTAGAGCTGCTAAAGTGCCCGCTAAGTCGGCTTTAAACGGCGCCATCGTAGATGACCGACACCCAGGTGATCTCTCCACATGGACAGGATATTCGTTTAATCGCTCTTGTTTCATCGGCACCGGGTACGTTAATGCGCTTCCAAATGAAACAATGACTTTAATTCGAAATTCGACTAAAACTCGTCAAGATCGTTCTCAGACAGATAAAAAATCAGGAAACACATCGAATATTAAGGAGAACATGAGCGCGAATAAGATTAAGAAGGGCGAGGTAGTGGTTGATAAAGAGGACATTCGAAATCTAACGCTCACGATTATTCTGGAACGCGATGAGAAGAATGTCGTTACGAATTTTCCGAAGGATTTTGAGCCTCGTCCGCCGGAGAATAGCACGGAATTCACCTTGGTCGGCATGGACGCTCTCAGATACATACAAAGAATTCAGGAAGAAGCGCGCGCGCGCGTCCCCCGAGGTCTCGATTTTTCGCGAACGACGTGCATGCGATACACGATGAAGTAGATCGATGGCGTAAATGATCGCGAGAAGAAACTCGAACGTTTCTCGGCGCGATGAAAGAGAAAAGAATTTATTATCATACGAGGACATACATGGATATATCGATTACTCTCGTACGGTCTTTCAGCATAGCATCAGCGCAGCGGCGCGAGTGCGAACGAGTGGAAAGAACACGCGTCTGGAAGACGAATCTGCGTCGATTCAAGCGATGGTTACGCGATCCATCAAGAAAACTTTTACGAGTCGTTGAGTAGAACGACGGCCCGTTGCTCTTGAGCACGTAACGTGCGGCGCGTGCAGATTGCTCGATGCTCAAAGTGATAAAAACAATCGTTATGTTATACGACCAAATTATACTTATGGCGCGTGCTTTTATACAGGCGTATCACATTTTAACGATCGGATACCAGAAAACGACCCACGTTTCGATTGTTGGGAGCCGTGAGATGAATCGCTCGATTAAATCAACAATGTTGTTTGAGTCCGGCTAACACAGGCATAATTGACGGTAAAGCGGCGATAGATTTGCTAGAATCCGAAGATAATCTCTCAATATGCGGCGGTACATGCGGCGAGGATGACGGGCGACATAAATTACAGCTGAACGACACGAGGAGGATGATTTCCCGCGACCCACTAACGAGTCTCGCTGTGCATTGATCTTTCGGATTCATCGTTCGCTACGTTATTTATGGCGGGAGCGATACTTTGTAATGATCCAAGATTGCAGACGTTTTCCCTTTCCTCTTAATGTCCCGGGGGTATCATAGGGAAATGCCTGGCGCGCGACATTTTCTTGTAGCAATAAAGATTAAGTGGTAAAAGAAACGCCGCGCGAGTCATTAATCTTGACTTTTGTATTCGTTCCACCTGGATTCCGCAATACGGATGTCCGTTTGTCTGTCTGCCAAGCGTTATATCGCTGAACGATATTTTCTGTTCGCCGCACGCCGCTTTTCGTATTACGTGTACGTTTTATTTGACTTGACGGCCTTCATGCCGTCAAGCTAATCAATCACGTACGACATGAATCAGCAAGCCTCGTAACACAGCATGTAATGCTAGCTTTTCGATCTATATCTAAATATTCATATATTTCTGAAACTTAAACATGGACGACGAATACATACGAGAAGATAACGTACATTTATCGCAACGTTTAATTTCTTTTTTGCTCAACGCTTTTTTTCCGTGTTCTCGACGGACTGAGATAAATTGAGAGCTTCATTCGCAGTAACAGAAACAGCGCGCGGACTCGCTGTCCGATTATGATGGGCTAACTGTTGGATAAGTTTAAGCGCTTGAGCACCCTTGTACACCTTCTTCTTGCTCGTGTCGATACCAACACCGACGAGATCGCCGGCTTCTTGGAATGCCTTGTCCGACAGATTAGCCTGAAGAGACTCGTCCATGTACGGCGCCTGCATCAGTACAACGTTCTCGATGGGTACTGAATCCAAAATGATAGATCCCGGCTTCGGCGTAGTGAATCTCTCTTCCGCGTCACAGGTGCGCTTACGCTTGTCCTCGTTTGTCATCGCCGAATCGTAAAGGACCTGTCGGAAGTTTCGAGCAGTGCTCCTATCTTCGAGTCTATCGTCATCGCGCAACTTGTCGCGGGACTTCTCCAAGTAACGAGCTAGACCAAGATCGACGAATCTGTCGATCATTCTCCGTTGATCACCTGGTGACAAGCTCTCTTTCTCTTTCTCATCAATAAACTCTTGCTCATCGGACCGTCGTGTTTTCTTAGGACACATTATTCTGCAGGGTCTTGTACCTGATACGAATACATTTTCTCGACGGAATTATTGTCTTGAATTTTTCAACACAAAAAGAACGGTTTTGTTGCACTGGGATTTTGTAATTCTTAATGATAGTGTTGGTATCGTTATATGCCCAAGCAGAATAACAAGTCACGATAAATGACATTAAAATAAATCGTAAATGATTGAAAAATGACTTTTAATGATCATTTTGACATCATTTTGATATCATAATGATTTGTTGTTCTGCTTGGGTCGTTATGGCGCAGCTTTTTTACCATATATAATATCTGCGTAACGGTAACATAATACCTGCGTAACGATAATATAGCGATATCGATATTATCATTAAGAATTATATAAAGAATCCCAATAAAGTATCTAAAAATTTAGCTAGATACAAATCTGGAAATAGCTTTGTTAAATTATCAAAATAATTAATATGATCAAAATAATTCTGTTTACATATTCTATAACCAGTTCAAGCTGGTTGCTAGAATGTTAAAACTTTTTGCAGCATTGCTCATCACGCTTGAAATTTAATTATTTTAATGAAAACAAAATTATTTTTGGATTTATATCTAGCTAAATTTTCGATACTTCAGCAAAATCATTCTTTCCGTAAAGTCATACTACATAAAAAATGTTAAGAATGCGAAAGGTCACGATAGTACCTATACATTCTTCTTTCTGCCTCGGTACACGACCTTTGCACGCGTCTAGATTTGCTTGCACATCATCTTCCCCAGGCCTGGCACCTGGCCTTACGCATTGAACCTTGCGATGTCTCATACCCTTTTTCCCGTCGCAAGAACTGCATTTACTCCATTGACTCACTCTCCATCTACACATACGACCGGCGACGGACATGGATTTATTTGCTTTACATTAGATTCGTCGAGCGGACGCTAATGTGCGCACAAAACGCTAGATCGTTGTTTATGCGACGCTGAGTTAACATCTTATTTATCGGCAAACGTATGCGGGCATAGGTGCGTAGTACTACGTCATCGTTATAGAAGGAACTAAGATCGATGGAGCGGAAGCCAATAGCGTTCAGATTTTTATCTCAACGTCGCGTCGTGGATATTATTTGAACTGTTGTTGTTGGAACATTAATTATATTTTTTTGCTATTAAGGAATACAAAAAATTTTTCTGTTATTACACTGAGAAGAAATGTATTAAATTTCAATATAAATATTTATTTCATAGTACTAACTTAACATTTACTTAAAAGGTAAATAAATATTTACTCTCTAAATAAAAAAATAATAATTAAATCAATGATTCTTGTACGAAATAAATATATAATTACATTTAGTAAATATTCAGCTACTATTCACAAGCAAATATTTATTAAAATTTACATTTTTTTCTCAATGTATTTTTTGTTGCTACGAAATCTAGCTACTAGAAATAAAAAAGCATTAATCCGAAAAATCTCGAATTTTACATTATGCTGTAATATAACTACGTATTTATCTTTTTTCTATAAAATATTGAATTTTCTATAAAATATTGAATATCTTTTTTCTATAAAATATTTCTATAAAATATTCTATACAATATATTTTATTATGTTACTGTTATTTTATTTCATAAAATACGTTTTATCTTATTATTAATTTAAAAATACTGCTCCATTCAACGAATTATCTTATTACAAAATTATTTTAACGATTCATATTGTCTATATTCACTGTCATGTGGAACTTGCAGACATACTGAAACTTGTGACTTACTTTGCGGGACAAGGGACCTGATTGCAGATGCGGCTCTTTGCTTCCGGACGCGGTATACCGTCGCAGAAGTTCGGTGTCACTCGCCCGCCCTGTTCTTCTATGCAGGACGCCTCAGATATCTACGCAAATCGATGACACGTCCTTCGCATAAAAGCAGTCGTACTCGCGGTCGCATTAGGTATCCGCGTGTATGTGTAACGTTGTCACATAAATTACCATTGTGCCACCGTCGCACTTAGCGCTGCATTCTGACCACTCGATGAAGTCCCACATGTACTTGGGCATGTATGATGTATTCGTTGCTCTCACGTAATATTTGTAATCTATTCCAGGATTATCTCGAGGATTGAAGAATGCATACTAAAAGATTGGGAAGACAAAAATTACGTGATATACTTTGAATATTTTCTAGCATTTTATTGATATAATATAGTATACGCAAAAGATTTCGGAACTTTAATTAAATGACAATTATTGAAAGACACTTTTAATCCATAATTTGAGAATTATATAGATACATTTCATTATCACAATTCACATTGCAATTAAAGATCATGAAAGTAAAATATTTACAACGATTTTGTGAAAAGTAATTTACAAGAAATAAATATATAGTCTTACAAAAGCTAAAGAATAAAGATATGTTCGTGGTACTGAATTTTTATACGGTGAAACATGTATATCGTGCAAAACTAGTAATTACGTCATACGTATGATATCATATCGAGATAAACGTTGGAAAATAGACATGGTTTACTTGTATCTCGATATCTTCGGATATCGGGCCTTTCATTTCCACTACTTCCTTGTCCGGCTCCGGATGCGTGTAGATAATCATCGTTCCAGCACACTCGTAATCTCCGCTTTTAAACTCACGACTACGCGAACGACATCATAAAAAGAACGTTATAAAAACACGTTACGCGCTTTATCATCGTTACGAAAAGCATATGTATTTTTCCCAAGACATTTACGTGCGTTATGGGTGTTATAAATTAAAGATGGAAGAAAGTACAGAAAGGGAACGAGTAGAGTTACAGAAGCTCACTTGTCTCCATTGATGCAGTATGTTTTATCTTTTTCGAGTTTCACGGCCAGCATGTTCTCGCTGGGTTTTCTCTCGGAAATCTGCACGCTTCGAGCTCCCTTCGGAATTGTCACGATCTTCACATACGCTGCAAAGAAAAAGCAGCGATAAATCACGGGAAGAAACTGCGCGATTCCATTTGACAAGCTGTGAACACAATCACTAAATTTTTACCGCTCTCTGACGCTGTTTCAATAAATTCGCCCACCACCGGACTGCACTTGGTTCCATCGCCTTTACATATGCCACATTTATCTTCGATTGCGTACGAGTCTATCATCCAATCGCATCCAACTCTCTACAGTACGAAAAACATGTATCATAGTAACATTTGACATGGTAAGAATCATAAATGCCATACGCGTAAATTTCTTTAACTCTCCGATGGCACGGCGTCTTTTAAAGCACCATCGATATTTTGATTATGAATTCTGGTAGA